CTAGCCAAGCCCACCCTGAATTCTGATCTACAGAAATGTGAACAAACGAAGGGTATTGTTTTAAGCTGCTAAATGTATAGTAATCTGTTATACACTAGAAAACTAACATTCACTTAGAAAAACCTCAGTAATATTGAAAATACTAACCCTGAACATTTTTGTGGGGAGGTAGGGGAAGCAGGAATTTAACCCAGGGGCATTTAACCACTGAGCCACATATCCAGGACTTTTTACTTTATTTTTTAAATTCTGAAGACAGTGTCTCACCAACTTGATTAAGGCCTCACTAAGTTGCTCAGGCTGGCTTTGAACTTTTGATTCTCCTGCCTCAGCTTCCTGTGTGACTGGGATTACAGGCATGTGTCACCAGCAAATTTGTTTTTAATACTTCTCATTAATAAAAACGTTTCTGTAAAGAAGTAAGGTATCTAAACATATAACACTTTGCTTTCAACTCAAAATAAGAATATTAAAAAGTAAAGTGCTGAGGGCTGAAGATATAACTTAGTGGTAGACTGCCTACCTAGCACATGTGAGGTCCTGGGTTCAAGTCCCAACACCAGAAAAGGAGGGGGAGTAAATAATTGATTGGCTCGAGTTCTCATTTATCACACAAATATCACTGGTCCTTCACTAAAGAAAAAGACTAGGTAGCTAGAGTAAATAGAGAGAAAAGACATGGTTATAACCACAGTTTGGAGAAATTTTTTAAAAATTAAAGCTCTAATATTATAGATTTTAAAAGTTTCATTCCTATGGTTCCAAGTAGGAAAAGACAAACAACTTCCCAGAAGACCCTGAGTGACACCTCACAGTGGCCTTCCACCCTCAGGGTCACTTCTCTTTTCTCTCTTCCTCCTCTTCGCACCTCCTTTTTAAAGTTATTTCTTTGCTTTTGCCTTATTCATTCAGAGTCCGTGAGATAGAGAGTAAGGAAAACCTTGGAATGGAATAAAAGGATCTGTATTCAAATAATTCCAGCTTTTGCAGATTTACTCTCTATAATGCCTTCAATAAGTTCTTTAGTTTTCTCATCTATTAATGGATAAGACCTAACTTGTAGAAGTACTGCAAAGATTTCATCATGAAGCACCTAGACACTGACTAATAATTATCATTATTATTTTATAACTATAAGAACTACTTGTTAACAAATATAAGAAGCATTCTTATTAGTAAATATAATAAGCATTCTAATTCCCTGTGGCCAGTGTGTTTCTATTAGTGATACTTCTCACACATAAAATGATCAGTATTTATAGCTTCCCTTCCATCATCTAGATGTCTACCCACAGATCTAATAAAATCGAAATTTGGAAAATTTAAAATTTTCCAATTTACAAATCAGTAGCTGAGGCTCAAGGAGACTAAATGACTTGGCCCTAAAAACAGCAAAAAAGAAAATCAGGTATATATGGTTGTCTCCAAATTGGGGTCTCCTCTGCTTCACTCTGAACAATGAGATGCTGCTACTCATGCCCATGTGGCACTGTGAGTACAAAGGATTTCTTATCTTTCATTGTCTCATACCTCATGCCTGATTTAAGAAGGATTAGAGCACTCACAGAGGAAGGGCTAGTGTTGGCAACAGCAGCAGGCAGGGCAACCGGCAAGGCCGCAGGAGTAGGAGGCGTTTCTGAAATTTCGCCTTTTGGGTCTCTAGCCACAAGCATCCTGACTGAATTCCCACAGTTCCTCAGCACTTGGGCAACTTGCTCACTCGTCATTCCCTGCACATTCGTGCCACCAATCTTCAAGATGTGGTCCCCTGTCTGAAGTCTTCCATCCTTTAAGAAAAACAAAATTATTCAGAGAAATCAACCTAATTCACTAATTGATAACAATTCACCAGACTTTCAATTCTGACAAAAAGAAGCATCTAAAATGTTGAGCAAAACACAGTATTTTTAATGAATGGCTGACTTGGCAAAACTAGAGCCAGGGTGTTAATGACAATGTATTCAAGGAAGAGATCAGAAAGCCTTGACCTCAAGGGAGGAGGGTCAGAACAGAAGCCTCTAACACAAAGCTAAGGAACAGGAAAGAACAACTAGCTCAGCCCACATCTGCAACAGGAAGTTGCCAGTGTGAGCAGAAGAGAATGAGGAAAGAGGAGAGTAGATGAAGAGATGAACTACTTAACAGCAGGTATTTCTCTCATAATGGGCATATTGTCAGTGTCACTGGGACCGGTAGTCATTGGAGTGTTTTAAATGGAGGAATGACATTATCTGATTGACTTTTTACAAGATCCACCAAGATTCTGTGCTTAAAATAGATTATAGGAGAAACAATCAAAGCAGAGATACCAATTGGGAAGCTTTAGCAAAACTCTGGGAAGAGGTCACAGCTTGGACTTGGTTAGTAGTTGAAGTGTTGAAATGGCAGATTCTAGATTTATTTTTAATGAACTGTCAACCAAATCTGCTGATAGTTTCTACATGGGGTATGAAAAGAGAAAAAGGAATCAGAACCCCAAGATGTAAGCCTAGAAAAGATAGAGTTGCCATGAAATGAGATAAAACTACAGAGGAACAGATGAATGGGAACAAGTCTGGAGTTCCAAGCCAGAGTTACACAGCCTGAATGCCCGTCAGACATCCAGGTGGAATTACAAGTTATACAGCTGGATTTACAGGGCTACAGTTCAGGGGATAGATCTAAACTGCACATTTGAATTTGGAAGTCAAAGCACATAGGAGACATTTAGAGTCCTGATCACAGACTTTTCTGGGTTTTGGTTGTTTTTTTTTGTTTTGTTTTGCTTTTTGGTAGTGGGGATTGAACCCAGGGGCATTTATCCACTGAGTTACGTCACTCAGACTCTTTATATTTTTGAGACAGGGCCTTGCTAAGTTGCTTAGGGCCTTACTAAATTGTTGAGGCTGGCCTCAAATTTACAATCCACCTGCTTCAGGCTCATGAATCACTAGGATTAGAGGTATGAGCCACCAGGCCCAGCAACGTGATCTCTTTCTTAAGCTGGATGATAAGTACATTGGTGGTTATTATTGTGATTATGACATTAATATGCAAAGACATTGTATATATTCTTTTATGTGTATGTATATCATAGAAAAATTTGATACAGCTTATGAAAATGTATGTCAGTTCAAAATATTTATAATTTGTTTGTGGAGTTTGTGAAATAGCCTATTCATCTGCAGTTTTACCAATTTGTTTCATCTGAAATTTTGACTTCTCTTTAATTACCATTTTTACAGTATATGAAAGATAATAAAATGTCAACATAGTTGTTTTCAAAAAAAATTATGCAGGGTTAAAAATCACTTTCTCATATTATCTCCTTCAGAGAACAACAGAAATTGAGATTCAAAAAGGGTGACTGACTTGACCAAGCTCACAAAGCAACTAAGTGGAAGAACCAAAATTCAATCCAATAGACCACTGATGTTTCTCCTCATTTAGTTATATTTGCCCTGTATTTTGATATCTCCAGAGTAACGTTGTTGTAGCAAAGTGATCTCTCATGCATGAAGGCTATTATTAGACAGAATATTTACTGTTTCTCAAGAAATTGTAATTGCCAAAAAGTTCAAATGGAATGAAGATGAAAAAGTTATTTTGCAACTGGGAGAGCAAGACAGCTTAGAATAGAGCTTAGAATAATCGTTGGGTTAATTTGATTTTAAGCTTCATAATCCTGCTTCCAGGTGGCACCTTCTATAGGCTACAGATGAAATTCTGAAGGAAGTTTTTAAAAGCCTTAAACTGAAGTCCATTCACCATCCTTCCTTTTCTCTGATTTTGCAGGATCCTGAATGAAGGAGGTCTTCAGATCAAAATAATGAGTACAAAACTCTAGGCTTTAGTATAAATACTGCAGAAGGTGCTAAAAGTAACTGCAAGTGAAGATAAGCAAGATTGCACATATACAGTTGAATTCAGACACATTTGGAAAGATCTGAGAAAGGAAACATATGCAAGGAGAAATTATTAGAGAAAAAGCAATTAAGAATTGCCTTATTCCATTTTCCCTAATAAAAAATCATACTTTAATAATGATAATTTGATATTCTGTTCTCACCCATTCAACAAAGTTGAAGTAAAATAAACAACTGCTCAAGAGAGTCAGTGTCCTGTGAATCAAACTACTCTTGAACAGAATTATGAGCTGACTAAAAGAGTAAAGAATAGCTAATAAATGTTTTCATACTTGACTTGGTAAAAGAGGGGCATTTCACAATAAAGTATATATTTAGACACTTCATAGGCACTCTTTTTTTCCTATTTTACCTCATCTCTTACTTTAAAACGATGTAGATCATTTGCATCTGTCACTAAAAGTCAAACATTTTCTTCTTACAGAAAAACAGGTGTTCTGGAGGAATTCATAAGTGCAAAAATAGTCATTAGATTGATAGGAAAGACACCAAAATGACAGCTACCTTGTCTAAGTCCAGCAGCCCCAAGCACTGCACTTTATTGATATATTCTGATCAACATTCTCCTTCCATAACCTGTCGACTGAGTGAGGGAACCAAGATGCATAATAAATTATATCTTGTTCTTTAACAGAAATCATGAATTAATTAAAGCTAATAAACAGCTATGCCAACATTCAAGCATACGATGCTAATCAAATATTCAATTATAAAAGTTTATTTTAACCCAAAGATTCTTCTAAAAGGAAAAATGATGCATATTGCCAAAGATAACGTGAAAGGCAAAAAATTAAAATGTTTGATGCAACAGGATCACACAATCATAGTAAAAATAGTAATAATATCACTTATAACCTAAAAAGAAAAAATTCTTTAGTCCAAGTTAACGGCTCTTGTCTCAAAATAAAAAAAATAAAATGGGCTGGGGATGTGGTTCAGTGGTAAAGTGCATGCCCCAAAAAAAAAAAAAAAAAAAAAAAATTCTATGTTAAGTTCTCTGATACATTGCTGCAGATAATTTCAATTAAAAATTATTTAAAACAGGGCTGGGGATGTGGCTCAAGCAGTAGCGCGCTCGCCTGGCATGCGTGCGGCCCAGGTTCAATCCTCACCACCACATACAAAGATGTTGTGTCAGCCAAATACTAAAAATAAATAAATATTAAAAATTCTCTCTCTCTCTCTCT